CCAAAAAATAATAAAATAGATACAGTCGTGGGAATTATAAACATCTGCATAGACTAGACTAAAATAAAACCGTGGGGCACGTCAATTGTCTACAAATTATCGACTTAATGTGCGATAGAAGAATAGTTTAATTCGTCGTTAGACAGTTGGCCCGCAGACGGTGAAGAAATTACAATTTTCTTGCTCATGGAAATTCCAATAGTTATACACTCCATGTAAATAAAAGAGATGTTTCAACTAGTTTATCGTTGGACATTCACACTGCTGGCTGGCGAGGAATCGTTTCACTGCTCGTAGTTTGTCTTTAATCGACAAAATATATAATAAAAGTACTACTCGCTCACCACTATGAAACCCTAAAACTCGCTTATAATCGAGCTTGCTAGATCTTCCCCCTCTCGGGGGTTGATCGCTTCAGATGAAGCTTGTAAGGCCCTTCTGGCCATAAGCATGAATAAAGGGTGTTTTTTAGTCAGTAAGAGTCTGACATAACCTTACAGCCGGCTGTAGGGTATCCATGAGGATTTCTCACCCTCTCCCCCGCCTGGGAGGAAACAAAAAAAAAAAAAAAAACTTGTTTCCACATTCTAGCCCTACTTATCACACGTCCATCGTTGTCGGTTGAACAACTGCCTAATTATAGTGTAACATTACAAAACAAACATTTTAATCAACGATTGTAGACAATTGACGTGCCCCACGGTTTTATTTTAGTCTAGTCTATGCATATGTTTAAAATTCCCACGACTGTATCTATTTTATTATTTTTTGGTTTTTAGTACATTTATCTTAAACATTGCAAATGTATGTTTAACATAAAACCGTTTAACTTAAAAAGTTTTTTTACCTATTTTTATTTTCTAGTTTTTATTTCGCATTCTGTTTAATTCATTTAGTGCTTCATTATTGCAAGGTTTCTTGCCCGTTAGTTTATTGCAGTCCAACTCCTCTATATGTAGTCCCTGCAAAGATCTTACTCTACTAAGAGCCACGTAGGCTTGACCTTCTTCAAACAGTTTCGCACCTAAGTATACGACTGCGTGATCCACAGTGCTGCCCTGCATTTTATGTATTGTAGAAGCCCATGATAGTATTAAAGGCAACATTAACGCCACACAGTCCTCAACACGATACAAAATCTTGACTTGGGTGGTGGATTCAGGCGGGATTAATCAGATGCCTAAATTACAGATTCAATTTCTAAATTTAAATCTTATTTTTATACGCCATTTAGTGGCTGCGCCCATCTTAAATATTGAGGTTGTATAGTGCACTGTATTCTTCTTGTCAAGCCCTTTTATTTGATACCCATATTGGTGGGACTGATAAAAAATTGTTATCAGCCATTTGGTAGCGGCGGCCATCTTAGATTTCAATAAATAGTATAGTAAATTGTATTCATATAGCATAATAAATTGTATTCTACTTGTTGAGACCTTTCATTTGATACCCATATTGATGGGATTGATAAAACCTACGTTATCCGCCATTTTGTAGCGGTCGCCATCTTGGATTTCAATTTTTTATATTATATTGTATTCTGCTTATTGAGCCCTTTTATTTGATACCCATATTGATGGAATTAATAAAACATAAATTATCCGCCATTTTGTAGCGGCGGCCATCTTGAATTTATAATGATAATGAATAAACATAATAGGCTAGTTGACCCTTTTTGGAAAAAGGTTGTAAATGGTTAATAAATGTTCTATTAGACCGAAAAAAATGTATTGTATTTTTTTGAGACCTAGAAAGCTACAAATCTTTAATTTTAAAATAGACTTTTCATGGACATACAAAAACGCTGCCGGCCATTTTAGTCTATAGATTGTCTATGCTATGACGTAGACGGCAGTAAACAAAAATTCGTAAGCTCGTAAAAAATAACCTATCTGAGTTTATAATAACAAAAAAAAACATGATTTCTAATAAATACCACGAAAAATATAGTAATTATCATTATTGTATTGTACGAGAATGTAAAAACACATCCTTGAAGATTCCAGTTTGAAAGTTGTGGATTAAAGTGCCGAAAGAAATTAACCTACGCAATACCTGGTTAGAAGTTGCTAAAAGTGATCCTGCAACTTTATGGACTCATAGTAAAATTTATTTTTGCGAAGATCACTTTGATGTAAGTACTCATTGAATAATATTTTAAGTCTCTTCATTTATAATCAGGTTTAATAATACAAGTTTTAAAGTTATGTATGAATGACATTTAGTTGTTTACTAAAAGAGACGTCACAATCATGGCGGATGTGGCGAACAGCGTTTTTAGTGTTTAAAAAGTATAGACTAAAAATTATTTTTTTAAATTAAATTTCTACAGCAATCTTCTGCTTTTATGAAGTGAAATCGATATATTTAGGTTCATTAGACCAAATACTTTAAAAAATAAACATTTATTTAATACAATTCGACATGAGTCAACTAGCCTATTGTATTGTCACCAAAATCCAAAGTGTATACAAAATTTCAGATTAATCGGTTGACAGGAAGAGGGTGAAATTTGAATTACTAAATTTGACCCAAGAATAAAACAAACGGGGTGAGCTAAATAAAACAGTTTAAAAACCGTTTAATAAAAATAGGCAGCCCATACGCAGTAAACTGTGGCCACGATCATAGATGAATGATTGGTCTCGCTTGACGCCACGGCCACGATCATATTGATTGCGATTGAAAAGTAATAAAATAATAACTAAACTTGAAACTGAATTTGACATCAGTCTTTCGTTTTCATTCTGAATAGATACACAATTGTCAAATTAAATTTTAGGATTTCATTATCTCGTAAGTTGAGAATATACTTCGTTCTGGTAAATATAGTTTTGGAGGTTCATCCCGGAGGCCTATTCACCAACCGCTTTCGACAGATGAAAACGACAATCACCGAGCTATTTAGACTGCTTTATTATATTTTATTCAATTCACCGTTCGGCTCATAGACATATCCGTGATCCCGCCGCGTACTTTCGGTACGACGGAATTTACGCTAGCCACTCCATCGTCGCGCGGCCGAGTCGGAAACGCTCCCGTCGCGGGTGGTCTTCGAACGACCTTTTTTCGAGCTTCCATGTTATGGTCAGTACACACGTAACGATATATCGTAGCGATTTCAGACTGTGCAGATAAATCGAACGTTCCTAGTGACTCCACACACCTTCGATATCGGCGTCGATCGTTTGTTCTCCGCAGAAGCTGTAGCAAGAAACACGTCATCCACGTTGGAAGATTATGACGCAATTGAAATTTTATTGATTTATTTTTTATAGGTACTTCTAAGATTATTGATTATCGATTGGCATTCGGTTCGATGGCTTTGTATTTTCGACAAGCCTGCTAAAGACCTTTTTTGCGTCATGATAATCCTTCTCTTTCTTCTTCCGACACGTTGCCATTCAAGAGCCAGCCGCATGTGCGCACACTCGCTTACGCCATCCACACGCGACGGTAAAACTGTGCAAACGCAATCGATAACGATTTATCTAATAAAAATTGCAACTGCCACCGACGAACGATAATCGGCAACGATTCGTCATACACACGTTCGATAAATCTGCGCAAAACGATCTGCACAGTTTAATCGTTACGATAAATCGTTACATGTGTAGCAGGCATTACAGTCCGATAAATAAAATTCCGAGGAGCTCGATGGCGCAGGTGGTTAGCGCGTTCGGCTGCGATCGTTGAAGTTAAGCAACTTTCGCAGTGGTCGGTCATTGGATGGGTGACCAAAAAACTTCTATCTCGAGTTCCTCCGTGCTTCGGAAGGCACGTTAAGCCGTCGGTCCCGGCTGCATCTGCAGTCGTTAGCACCCGCCAATCCGCACTGGGTCCGCGTGGTGGGTCATGGCCCAAATCTCCATATTCCATCCATAGGGAAGGCCTGTGCCCCAGCAGTGGGGACATTAATAGGCCGATGGTGATAAAAATGCTTGGCATACAGTGGACACAATTCCGAACCAATGCATCCATCCTCCAGGAACTGTCCATCGAACAACGTCTGTCTTCCATCGTACAAGGTCGTATTCTAACTTTCTTTGGCCACATCTTACGCCGAGAAGATGCGTCAGTGGAACGACCGGTGGTGCAGGGTAAAGTCGAGGGCGTAAGGGCGCGCGGCAGATCACCGATGCGTTGGACTGGCCAGATAAAAGCGGCACTGAACGGTCCACTTCACGAGTGCACTAGGCCGCAGTGCGGGACGAATGGCGGCGTATTGCGCGAACCACCAATCCTGATGTGACGACCACGACCACTCCGTCAAGAGTGTAGCGCCGAAGAAGAAGATGATGATGATGAAAAAAAATGGGTGCGTGTACTTATGTAGGCGCGTGAGAAGTTATCCTTCTTTGGCATCGTTTAAAATTAGTTTTTAATTGCATGCAAATAATTAATTACAATAAATTAATAAAAAGTCTGGAAAAGGACACAGTCAATAAAGTTCAGTTTTAATTTGAAAAAATAAATAAATAATCAAAATATTCAATTAAAATCGCTACTGAATATAATTTATTAGAACATAATTGTGATTTGCACTTGTATGAAACTCAAACACGTATTCCGAATATACAAACTAGAAACATGTGGATAAATATTATAAATATGAATACCTATAACTGTTACTTTATTGCAAAAAATAAAGATGTGGTTTTTGGTTCTACTACACCAATGGTCAAGAGATGGCGCTGTAGTCTCCTGAATCGCGCTTTGGTTCCGTCGTTCCAGATCAATAAATACTTTTGATAGGCCTTCACAATGCAGTCGTTAGCACCTACTAAATAGAGATTCTATTTTGTTGGTAGAGTTTCTTAACGTGCGGTCGGTCGCTAAAGCGACCAACTTCATGCTGTTAAAATTTTGTGTTACAGTGATGCGCGCGCATCTTAAAATTTCACTCTCATCATTTTTTCATAACGCGCCTAAAGGAGTATAACTTCAATAAAACTGCAAACTCTCGATCTAACACATTTATTAAACTAGGGTGCGCAGGTTTAATACGCATTCTGCTGCGTCTGTATCGCGTACATGGCCAGCGCCGCGAGCGCGACCGCAGCGGTGTGGGCCCCGTGGAGCGCGACGCGCGCGATGTGCTCCTGCGGCAGGGAGAGCAGCGCCGCCACCGCGCGGAGGAGCAGCGCGCGGTAGGGCGCCGCCAGCAGTAGCGCGGCGACCGGCGCCCGCAGCGCACGCGCCAGGTCGTGCCGCGCCGCCAGCCACACGAGCGCCGCGCGCGCCGCCAGCCGCACCAGCGCCGCGCCCGCGCCCGCGCACCACCGCACGTAGCGCCACGAGAACTCCGACCCGCGCGCCCCCACCCACAGCGGCACGCACAGCGTCACCACCGCCTGACACATACCGCCATACACCCATCATCATCATCATCAGCCTATCAATGTCCCCACTGCTGGGGCGCAGGCTTCCCTATGGATGGAATAGGGAGATTGGGCCGTGACCCACCACGCGGGCCCAGTGCGGGTTGGTGGGTGCTAACGACTGCAGATGCAGCCGGGACCGACGGCTTAACGTGCCTTCCGAAACACGGAGGAGCTCGAGATAGTAAATTATGGTCACCCATCCGATGACCGACCACTGCGAAAGTTGCTTAAATTCAACGATCGCTGCGGAACGCGCTAACCACTTGCGCCATCGAGCTCCATACACCCGATGAAACGGAAAGCTGCAGAGCGCAATCCACTTGACGAGGCATCGATATGAGAATCCCGTTGCGGACGAGCCTAAAGTGATACCCGGAAACTTTGTAGAATCCACTAACTGACTCGGCGAACTTCGTACCGCCCGAAAGTAATAATTTGCAATAAATTAAAATTGCGACTATAATTTGAGATTTAAACTATCCTATCTCTCGAGTTGGATCGAACTGCACATGGTGTGCGAATTTTATTATAATCGGTTCGGTGGTTTAGGAGTCCATTGAGGACAAACATTGTGACACGAGATTTATATATATTAAGATTAACCTGTCTCACATTAGGTAGAGTTAAGGCTGCCATCCGTCTGGGTTTTCTCGAATTTGTCCTAGTTTACGGGGCGTCCGGGGAGCGTCCGGGCGGGGTTTTATTTGTAGTCCGGGTTTAAAAATTTACGGCAACGCATGAGTGGCCCTTGGTGCTGCAAGTGTCCATGGGCAGCGGTGGACTTATTATAAGGTAGACCTCTAGCTCTTTTGCCTAGATCAACATAAAAAAGTTGTTTGTGATATTTTTAACTGTTTTTTATTGCCATCTAGCTGCCATTCTCCAATGGCAGCTAGACCGACCCGATTGAAGTGTCTCACGAACGGCCGCGGCCATGGCCGATGGCTTGCAAAGTAACCGAGTATTGTAACGCGACCGACCGCCTCGGTCTGTGAGACGTTTGATCCTGGACGAGAGTAGCTTTGAATTGAGGAAGCCTAGCCGAAAAGCGGATTGAATTCAGGGACATGATCTAATAATGAATCAGGGACATGCTCCTGGTCCCTCGCACCTGCGAGACGCACCATCAACACATTCGATACCCTCTTTTGTTGTTTTTCGATTCCTCATCCATAGACTACCCTCATCTGTTATGTCTTTCCCTATCCGCTGGACTCCACGTTGCTCGATGTTTGTTTGAATTTGAAAGAACAAAATTAGCAGTGTGGGGAACAAGGTTTCACAGACTATTCAGGATTTCTTGTCGGGTGCTCCGAGCACCCGAAGCATTAACACAACGGAGTACTTAACTGAACATGCCCCTCCAAACCCAGGGCGCTCTGACTGCAAAATGGTTAACTGAGCTGTGATGATTTTCACTAAGTTTCCTTTTCTTTCATTTCTTAATGGACCGAGTTAGTACCTATATTGCCGCTTCGAAACTGCATAAAAATGTCTAAACACAAAACATCATCAACATGGGTGGATACCCATGACAGTTATTATGCTTTGTTCCAAACCGACTAACAAAATTTACATAAGAGTGAAGGAGGGAAGCGTTTGTGCTGCTGCTTGTTTGATCCTATCCTCTGAACATAAGATAACAGGCTTATCAGGATCTTGAACATAAACAACAAATCCTATGAAACAGTCAATTTCATATACTGTCTACTGCAAGAAAACATAGAAGAAGGCAACAACAACAAATTCAAAAAACAAATATGGAAAAGTAGGGTTCCCTCTAACTGGCAGTATATTATAGCTCCAACATTCATTTGGCATAACACCCTCAGTATAATCTTTATTTTTCATAAATCACAATGGCTTACTTTTTAAGATGGCGTTAAAGCTGTCAATCTCAAACAAAAAGAATGGGTTTGTTCAGACATCAACCGCATTATGCTTTTCGTTTCACTCAAAACTGTAGTAACTAATATAAAATTTAAAAACATTGGAAAGGAATGAATCAATGATAGGAAAAAACTTATGATTATATATAGTAATCATATGTGTGAATGCATGGCATATTAGGATAATGGGGCCCCTACGAACTAGGGACTTTGTATTTGATCTGAGGAAGGCCCCTATTGATCGTGGGCCCTGGGCACTTGCCCACAGGGAAAGACGGGTCTGCAAACAATGATTTTTTTTAATATGCCAAATGAATTTCGGAGCTATAATATACTGGCAGTTAGAGGGAACCCTACTTTTCCATATGGATGATTGAATTTATATAATTATCATATCGGTATTATTGCATCCCAAGTTAAAGTATTTATTATTTATTCATTAATACCCACCTCTGCACTAGCCCAGCCAATAGCTGCAGTGAGAATCTTTGCATGGCCCTTCCCAGGGACTGAATTCAGAGCAAAGTAAAGTCCCACCAAATCAGCAAAGTCTACTGTAGCCTTCAGGATCTCCTGTAAATGTACATTAACAAAAAAATATTAATATTTTTCAATAATAATGCAAAAGTGTTAAAATCATTTCATTTCATAAATATTGTCTAATTATTTTCTTATCTTTATAGAACACTATGGCGGAAAAAGCCAGTGCTATTATGAACAACTTTATTTTTTTGACATTCTCAAAATCATTTTCTATTTAATTATAATTGCAGGTGCTTATTAAATAACTTACCAAAATTACATTGTATTCTCCAGTGGTATTTAAATTATCAGAATCAGGGAAAAAGGTGGCTAAAAGTAACATTTTGCATAGTTGTGTAAAAATGTACAGACCACCTGCGTAAACACATTTTGAGAACGACGCATACTCATTACTGCAAAAAAAAAATAACTTTTCTGTGATTGTTCATTTAACAGTTAAAAATAAGTAAATCTCAGTAAAAACTTACACTCCAGAAAACTTATACGCCATATGATATGGCGCATAAACTAAGGCCAGACAGTTTCCAAAATGATATAACGTCATATTTGATGCAATAAATTATTGATATTTCATTTATTTAGTTTAAAGGCGTACAAAAAGCAATTTAATTAAATTAAAGTACGATAAAACTCTGATGATGCGACGGCATTCTAATTTGATTGACAACCACAGACTATTTAGATACTACGTTTGACAACTGACCTGACTGACACTGACAGACGTCACCTTTTTTTTTGGTTAAGTTCTCCCTTTTCAGGGAAGGCAAGGGAAACAATGCCCATACAGCCTAGTCTTAAGTTAAATTATTCTTTTTCTTTTTACATTAGAATATTGGTGTGACGCATTCTAATGTTTCTTGAAGTGTTTGGCACGAAACGTATCGAGCTGGCTTTTTCGATAAGCTTCTGTGAGGTAGTCAATACTACAATAAAATTCTCACGTCCATTTGACCGGAATAGCGTATATTTTGACGATTCTACTAATTCTTCAGTTACGCAGACGGTTGTATCACAAAATCACACCAATTTTATTTCACAATATCCACTATGAACGAATTTAAGAAAAATTAAATTAAGACGCCAACCACACACGATCAAAATCCCGCCAAAAACACCTTTTTTTTGTTATAAATTTTACGGCCTTGGAGGTTTCCATATTGGCCAGTCATTAGTTACAGACGTCACCCTGACTGACGGTCCACAGACATATAATACTATAACAGACGGAACATAAAACCTAGTTATTTTTATGAATCAAAGTATGATCTTTTATCCTTTTTGTACTCAGCTACAACTCGATAGTGGCATCTCATTCTTCCATCTATTGCAATACTGACTCACACATCAATAAATGTCAACGCGTGTCATTTTTATTCCTCGCCGCCATTTTATACATGACTTATCGGACATGCGACTTTTCGGTGTTTATTAAGAATATAGCTTTGATGAAACTATATTACAAAACGAGATTATTCAATTACTATGGTGAAGTACAGTGCGTATCGATGTGAAAGTGCTACCTACAATAGAACACCAGGATTACCTTTCATCAGTAAGTTTTTATGTGTCTTTGTTGTGTACTGAAAAGTCTTTGAGTCTCTTCGAAGTTTATTTAAATATTATCGTAACATGTAACATTTTTTACGTAGGATTAATTATCTAAGATACTACCGGTGAAAACTAATATCCTAAAAGTAAAGAAATAGAAGTAATCACGATAAATCATGATAGGAAATTCCAATTCTGACAACTGAAGTACTGTTGCCATAACAGAGGACGGACTCGGTATGAAAGACAAAAAGTTTCTCGGCATTAATTTTGTTTGCATTGCATTGTATTTTGAATGTGAATGCAATCAAGAACGTAAATAGATAGGTACCTACTAGACTAGCTATTCATATTTCTTGGAACATTGGCATCAGTAGGTATATAACCCAAATAACCACATAAACAATTTTGTTCTAGGTTTTCAAAGGATGAAAGTACTCGGAATGCATGGTTAAAATATATGAAACGGATTGGCAACCAACTTATAGTGTTTTAAGTGTTTTTTGTTTTAAAATAAACTAAAGTAATGATTTTAATTGATTAAATTCATATGTGATTATGTCGATTATTTGACTCGAACAATCCAGATCATGACATAAACCATGTCCACTTGCTTATTAAAGTTGTTGTCAAATTTTATTTTGATCTTAGATGTAAACATCAATGTAAAGAAACAAATGTATCTTGTATTATTTCAAAATAAATAAATAAAAACTATGCCTTAAATTTTTATTTCAATTTTCCTAATTGTACCTATATCCTTTCTATCTCCGTGCTCAATTTCATCATTATCGGTTCAGCGATTTCGCCTGGCTAAATTCGCAATTTACATTTATAATATTACTAGCAAACCAGTGAACCAAACGTTCACCAAAACCTGATTTCTCGAAAACCGGAAGTGCTACGTTACTCAAATCCGGTTTGTAGTCTTATCAGATTATTCTTAACTTATAACTTAAATATTCTCTTTATCTATCTCTTACGGTTTGGCCGCTGAAACAGCACCACAGACAGACGGACGGACTTGTCTAATAGATAAGAGACTAGCAAACCAGTGAACCAAATGTTCACCAAAACCTAATTTAAAAAATGTATTTAATTAATTGAGAACTTCGGAGATTTTGTGTGGTTTCGATTGAAATTATTCAGTTAAAAAAAAAACCTTTAAATAGTTAATTAAAATTGTGATAATTACAAAATAGAAATCACGTGATTTCTCGAAAACCGGAAGTGCTACGTTACTCAAATCCGGTTTGTAGTCTTATCAGACTATTCTTAACTTATAACTTAAACATTCTCTTTATCTATCTCTTACGGTTTGGCCGCTGGAACAGCACCACAGACAGACGGACGGACGGACGGACTTGTCTAATAGATAAGAGATTAGCATGGACATCACATTAGGACCTATCTATTCGGATAGGTATTTCATGAAACAATAATGACATCCATTATTCTACTATACTAAATGCGGCCCATGCTTTGGTGAGTTTCAATGTGTGTGTATTTGCCACGCTGTTGAAAACTGAATATTCCGTCTGCTACTAGTTATATGTCTGTGTGACGGTCATATTAAAAAAAAAGACACCAGTGTCGTTTCTGGCATGATTCTTTAAACTTAGAACCAAATTAAATATCAATGGTGTCGATTCTGGCAAGATTATCTAATCTTAAAACTAAAATTAACATCAATCTGTCCTTTATATTCTGTATAGAAAATGACACATACACTGTTGTCAAATTTAAGTTTAACTTTAGAGAATCATGCCAGAATCGACATCAGTGCTGCCAAAGTTAGGTTTAGGTTGAAAAAATCATGCCAGAATCGATGCCAATGTCAATATTGAGAATCGTACAGTCACGAATTTTAACAAAATATTATTGCTATTAGCTGTTTGATTTATATATGTGATGGCATCTTGATGACGTATTTATTATAATATAGTAAGAGAAACTGAATCTTTGTTTGGCAAGATTTTCTTTACTGAATACTAAATTTGTCTGCAATCTCTCTTTTCCCTTTTCTTTGTAGTGTGAAAAGGACATAGCACCCCACAGACCAATAAGTATCACCCACTAGGACAGACTCCTGCATGATTATTTAAACCTAAAACTAAATGCGATTTATTAGACTAATATAACTTTATCATACCATAAGAGTACAAAATAAAAAGGAAAATATAACTGTCAATGGTGTCAATTCTAGCGTGATTCTCTAAACTTAAAACTAAATTTAACATCAGCCTCTCCTTTTCATTCTGTATAGAGAATGAAAAGATTGATACACTGTTGTCAAATTTAAGTTTAGCTTTAGATACTCATGCCAGAATCGACATCACATATCTATATTATATAGTGGTATATGCTCTAAGAAATAGGGGTCCTAATTCAGGCATGATTCCCTAAACATAATTCTTTACAACAGTCTCTCTTTCTCATTCTGTAAAGAGCATGACAAGGATAGACTGTTTTTAAAATGTGGGTTTCGAGAATCCTGCCAGAATCGTGCTCAGTTTTCATTTTAAATAATATATCTTAAATATTATAACTAGAAACTTTGAAACTTTTCCCAAAAAACTAATATTTAGCTTATTGTTCTTACTTATCACATAAACAGAAAAACATATTTTATATTTGTTAAAAACTAAGGCACAGCGAAACGGAACGTTGTTCAAATATTTGACATTTCGCGGTACCGGAGATTTACTTTTAATTTGTGGTGTTTCATTTTATTTTCTTTTTATAAAAATAAAAAGTTTTTATAACATAGTTTTGGTTCAATGCAATTAAATTGGGTTTTCATGGCAATTTTGCAATTGTTTTTAGGGACATTTTGATGTGCTTGATAGCTTTAATTACAAAATTTATGTTTTCTGCTATTATTTTTATTGAAATACTTTATTCAAAAAAAAAAGCTTTTCAATTATTTATTGTCTCGCTATTTTGTTTGCTTAATGCAAGTAAATAACTTTTTCCTGAAATATTTTGTGTATAACTTCACAGAGTCACTACAGAAAGAGATGCAAAATGAAGGGTGATTCAAAAGGGGTTGGTAAGTTGTTTAACCCTTTCCTTTTTTAGCACAGGCGCAAAGGGGTGTGGGGTTTTTTATCCAATAGGAAGGTAGTGTTTGGTAAATTTTGAATTTTTTAGCTCGCAGTAAACCAGAGGACCGAACGTTGAGTGAGACACCGTTCCATGATCGAACAGTCCCCTTTTGGATTTGTTGGGATCAACCTGTCTTGCATATTGTTAGGGTATTGTGCATTTTTTTAACTTAAACATATTTAATTAAGTGTTCGGAAAAATAAAGACCATTCTTATATTTAATATTTTTAAATGTACAATTGTGTCGGCTTTCAATATGATGTATGTTTTAACACATTGGATGCAGTGTATATTTTGGGATTGTTATTTCTTCAATTCCACCTCAAATCATCAGGTAAGTAAATATGTTATATTTTAAACTCATTATGAATACATTTTTATGATGTAAAGATAAATAAATAAAAATTAGGGTGTCCCTAGTAAGTTCTGGAATTAAAAAAGAAAAACTTATAAGTTTCAGAATATTGGTACCTAATAAAAATTCCTACCAATTCTTTTGATAAATTTATAAGTTAATAAAATTAATAACACATAATGAAAACTTTCAATTTACATTTATGCCAAAATTGTAATAAAAAATACAAGTCATACAATGGTTTTTGATTTTTTCTTTTTAATGTTAGAAAATTAAGTACAGTGCCCTTATATATTATTAAAAAGCTATTCAATGTTACAAAAAGAAATAGCTAAATGTATGAAGTAAACATAAAATAAATGAACCAGAGACTAGCAAACATACAATCTAGGTATTGAATGCAACCAAAACAAAAGTGAAATGATAACTGACTGGTTCTAATAAAAGATGTTACCAACTATGGGACATGATTACTAATTTTTAAATAAAATCCTAGTAACTTAGAAAAATAATTAATTAATTAGTGAATGAGT